TCAGAATTCTGGCCTCTACAACTGTGAGAGAATAAATTTCTCTCGATTTCAACCACCGGGTTTGTGGTAATTTGTTACATAGTCTTAGGAAACTAATGCACCTGAGGATTAAAAACCAAAAGGACCCTAAAAAAGTGTTTTCTGAAAGCAAAAAAAAAAAAAAAAAAAAAAAAAAAAAAAAAAAAGACAGGTTCAATGACTCCTGATCTCTCCTTCAAAGCTGGTTTCTATGACATGGGATTCAACGTGCCTGGCACGTAGCAGGCATTCATCAGTTTGCTACCTTATCCTCCCGGGTATTCCAGCCCATTCTGTTACCACCATATGGCCACTGCCCAGCCACATGTACTCTCCAAAGTCAGCATTTCCTAAATAACTTAGACTAAAACTGTGCACTAAAATCATCTTCACATATACCTGCCAGGAGCCCTGAAAACCCTGGAAATTCTGACTCAGGAAGTCTGGGGTGGGGTCAAGGCACTGGCACATTTAATAAGCTTCACAAAAGATGCTGATATCCACCAAAGACCGAAACCTTGAAACTTGGGCATTCAGCAGCTGAAACCAGAGTTGGTATAAAGCTGAAGTATGAAAGTATTTCTGCATTAAAAACGTGTAAACTCCATGTGAATAATAAAATATTTATACATTGAAGTATAAACTATGCTGAGAAAATAAAAATTAAAAAGAGAGCTATAGAGGCGCCTGGGTGGCTCAGTTGGTTAAGCGTCCAACTTTGGCTCAGGTCATGATCTCACAGCTTGGGAGTCCATGCCCCACGTCGGGCTCTGTGCTGACAGCTCAGAGCCTGGAGCCTGCTTCAGACTCTGTGTTTTGGTCTCTCTCTGTCCCTCCCCTGCTCGCACTCTCTCTCTCTGTCTCTCAAAAAAAGTAAACATTAAAAAATAAATAAATAAAAAGAGAGCTGTAAAAGTACTCAATTTGAGAATTACTTCCTTGGACACCTGGGTGGGTCATCAGTTAAGCATCTGACTTTTGATCTCACCTCAGGTCTTGATCTCAGGGTCATGAGTTCAAGCCCTGCATTGGGCTCCATACTGGGTGTGGGGCCTACTTAACAACAACAAACAACAACAAAAAAAGAGGAAGTATTTATTTTCTCTCTACCAAGTGTCAGATACTATGCTACTCATCACATCTGATGATAAGTAAGATGGCCACTCCCCTCCTCTCAAGGGCAAATCCAGGGCATTACCAGAAAAAACAAAAACCCAGTAGTCTGGTCTCATCTGAAACCTCTCATCTGAAACCTCATATCCAGGCCTGATCTCAGAGGAACCATTGAGAACTTAGCCAGTGGATAAAGTTGATTTCTCCCTAAGATCACATTCAATACAGAACTGATATTATCATAAAATGGATGTGGTACTGAGTTTAAGAAGTTGACATTTATTAAAGGTTAGAGGAGTTTGAGGAAATTCTTTCCTGATTAAGTAAAAACAATTAAATGTTACTGATTTGATTAACAAATAGATCTGTAAAATTTGGTCATTTGAGGGGAATCCTTCGTGAAATACCAAAATTATGGTACTAGAGTTAGTCCTTTACATTTTCTTAAATTTTTAAAAATGTTTTATTATTTACTTTTGACAGAGAGAGAGGAACAGAGTGTGAACAGGGGAGGAGCAGAGAGAAAGGGAGACACAGAACCTGAAGTGGGCTCCAGGCTCTGAGCTGTCAGCACAGAGCTGGAGGCAGGGCTTGAACTCCCAAGCTGTGAGATCATGACCTGAGCCGTAGTCGAATGCTTAAATAACTGAGTCACCCAGACGCCCCTAGAGTTAGTCCTTTACAAAAGGAACCACCTGATTTTAAAAAGAGTACAACTATGCCCATTTTCGTGAATGTCTCATTGATGTCATTATTAGATTACACGGCTGAGTCAGGTTCCAAACTATAAGTCACTAGTTCATTATTACTTAATAATAGAACTCTGACTTGAGGCATTACTTCTTCCCAGAATCAATGATCCCAACCAATATTTGCATACATTCATTCACTCATTTAACCAATTCTTTTCATGAGCTCCTTCTACGTGCCAGGCACTGAGGTTGCAGCAGTGAGCATGAAGTCTTGGTTTCTGTGGGGCTCATTCTTCAAAACAACATCCCATCAAGAGCTACCCCACATACCTCTGCAGTAGAGGTATGTTATCAATCACAGGACCCTCTCCTGCCAAGCCCCTGGATGGCCTGAGGATGCTTCTCAACATGCCCTTCATGAGAATGCTTCCAGTAAGAGGTAGAACACAAGATGAAATTGGCCATCCAGATACTAACAAAACTACACTGAATCACTGGTGATTTCCCCGAAATACAATTGCCTTGGTTCACATCATTTTCTGTTTCTGTCCCTTTTACCACCCCTCCTCCTCGTCATCTATGAACATCCAAATCAACTCTTGTGAAGGCACAGCTCAAATGCTCTAACTTGAAGTCTCCCTTGTTCTCCCCTTTGAGATATAAATTCTTCTGGATCAGTATTTCTCCCCCCTTTTTGTTACCTAACAAAGTGCATGCCTTGTCTGCCACATATACATCTTAAGAAATATCCTTTTTATGTCTTTGAATGCCTCATATTGTTCATTATACAGCTTTGCACTTTGCACGTGCATGCACACAGACATGCAAGTCATATGCTTGCTAAGCACTGGTTCAATCAACTAATTATGAGAGAACTTGGGATTAAGAGAAGAGTTAAGCTCACTTGAAAAAAGCTCACTGTATATCTGTTTCACAGGGGTGTATCGGTTCTACTGTTCTAGTTATCAGGTTGCATTGCAATGCAATGAAAGAAGACAAGTTATATTTGACCTACAGAAATATTTCACCTACAGACCTACATTTACAGAAATAAATGACCGACAGTAGATTCCTAACGTGAGCCATGGACTCCTAGTATCTGTAAAGTCCCTGATACTGTATGCAGAATTTGCATATATATGCATAGGTGCATTTTTTCCAGGGAAAGGATTCATAGCTTCTAGCAGATTCTCAAAAGAGGTTATAAGAGTAGAATAAGTGCAGAATAACTGACTGACACTGGCAGATGTTGGTATGTTTGTTCTCACACGTCAAAATGGCATGTTGGGAATGAGAAGGACACTGTTTACTGATCTTCCCAGGCTGGTATCTCTCAGGATGATTCTGTTAATATCCAAACTGTTTTCCCTATGCTCACTGTTCCCAGAAAATAAAGTATGAAAACTAAAGTCACAAACATAAGAATTAGCTTTCTGGTACATAAATTTCTAAATGATCAACAGTAACTATTAAGGTTTCATGATATTTTCAGAACCCAATAAGCCTCTACGAACTTGGCAAACAATCTTTTTATGTTAAATCATATATACCTTTAGGAATCATGTTCTCAAAAAAAGCCAAATTGAAAAATATTAATATTTAATATAATCATTAATATATTAATATTAAAACATTGATAAATATTACTGTTTTGTAATATTTAATATTTTATTGCTACTTTATAAATTTTATATTTTAATTAATATATTAATAATTTAAAGCTATTTAGATTAGTAATTAATAGCACTTTTTCAGCCTAGGGAAATATAAATAAGGGCCTAGAAAAAGAAAATACACATCCTTAAGATGAACGGTATTACTGAATTAATGTTTATTTAAATCCATGCATGAGTTTTTCCATGAGTTCATAATACAGCTGTATTTACAGATAGTAAATAACTATAACTAACTTTTGTCCACAAGACATACTGGGTCAAACAATGTGATCAATCCAAAGGTTATCTTTTATAAAAGGATTTAGCTATGAAGATGATTAGTCAGTCAGTTGCTTGTGGGACTTCTCATTAAAAAAAAAAAAAAAAAAAAGGTTTTTAATGAATCAAATTTATTACAGTGAATTAGTGTGTGCAATCAAAGCCAAATGCATTCCTTGGTGTATGCAAGAGTAAAAAGCAAAATAATATTAATAGAATCAGGGTTACTCAAATATAAGGCAATTTTTTTCTGAATGGTAATGTAAAACATCATAGTGTATTAACATTATTTGACAATAGAAAACCAGTAAGACGTGGTTCAGTGTTGACTTTTTGATGTTCCAATAAAGGTAACAAAATTCCAACAAGTAAATTACAAAACCTAGAAAGTGAGCCATAAAGAGGTGTTCTCCTCAAGAGCATGCAATTCATTACAAATAATGTGTTTCATCTCAATGCATGAGTAAAAGCATATTTACAATTCAAACAGAGCTCTGTCAGCCAGGAGGGGAACGACTCTCCATCTGCTTCATCTACAGAGATGGTAGACAGATGATGATGACACAGCTCTTTGGAACATGTATAATTTTTTTAAATAGTGACACTTCACTTGTTCTTTTCTACTTTGTTGATTTACACATTTCAAATGTGGCCATGTCAATGGCCAAATAAGTACAAATACTTCAAAAGACAAAAACAACAACTATATACAATTTGCAAAGATCAAATTTTAACCGTGGTACATTTCATCTAGTCTAGCACCCAGACACTTTCCAACACCAATAACGGCCATCAGGTACTGCGTTAGGCCAAATGAAGCCTCAACACGACAAACAGATTTATTTTTTCCCTTTCAAATGCTTTCATTTTCCTTAAAAAAACATTTACAATTGACCTACTTTTAAACTGGCAATAGCTACACGAGTAAGGCCTGATGCCACAAATCAAAGCCTTGTCCTACCCGAAAACGACTGTTAATTAAAGTCAATTTTACCACTCAAGATTAAATTCAGATGTGTAGATCCCAGATACCTGGGTGTGAAATATTAAAATCTGCCGAAAGGAATTAGATATTTTTCTTCTTTTCCTTTAATATAACCCACTATATAATAGTGAACTAAATATGTTTGTTTCCTAGAAACAACTTACATTTGCCAATACAGGGCAAATGGTCTATGTACAGATACATTAGGACTGCCTAACTGACAGTGAGTGTTGCCGACGAGGCTCCACGTCAATGGAGCTAATACGGTGGAGCTCTCTGCTGAATGGACTTTCCCTTCAGGATACGTCGGATCTGGAAGAGAAATTAACAGGATTGGTGAGCTTTACTTTTTATGGTCAAAGTACCGTATTTCCTTCAGAGTTTCACTCTTTTTTCACATCCTCTAAACCGTTCACGTCAACTTGTAATAAATATATGAAGAAATATGAAACAATACGCACGAGACTTTAAGATGACTTTAAAAATACTACTATAACTCCTTTCAAGACTTATCACAGATCTATAATGATCTTTGAGTGCAAGAGAGTAAAGCATCTCCATTAAAAACTACCTAATGTTGGGGCGCCTGGGTGGCTCAGTCGGTTAAGCGGCCGACTTCGGCTCAGGTCATGATCTCACGGTCCGTGAGTTCGAGCCCCGTGTCGGGCTCTGTGCTGACAGCTCAAAGCCTGGAGCCTGTTTCGGATTCTGTGTCTCCCTCTCTCTGACCCTGCCCCATTCATGCTCTGTCTCTCTCTGTCTCAAAAATAAATAAACGTTAAAAAAAATTTAAATAAATAAATAAATAAATAAATAAATAAATAAATAAATAAAAACTACCTAATGTTGAGGGGCACCTGGGTGGCTCAATCAGTTAAGCATCCGACTTCAACTCAGGTTGTGATCTCATGGCTCGTGGGTTCGAGCCCTGTGTTGGGCTTTGGGCTGACAGCTCAGAGCCTGGAGCCTGCTTCAGATTCTGTCTCCATTTCTCTGCCCACCCCCCCTCCCACGCATTAGCGTGCTCGCTCTCTCGCTCTCTCTCTCAAATATAAGTAAATATTAAAAAGAAAAAACTACTTAAAGTTGAAAATCTCCAACAGCTTAAATAAGACCTATATCCTTTCCTAGTCTCTAATACTGCTATTTGTGAGAACATTTAATACAAGGCAGTAACAATGGTATATTACAGTATCTCACCTATTTTGAAACCAGCTTGAACTAACAAGAACACAGAACCCACTTCATACACACACAAGTCAATCTTCAAATACCCTTCAAATGAGAATAGCCGCCATGATATCCAATTAAAGCATCTGTGCATAATGTATGCCTAGTGATTAAATTTATACACCAGTCTGACAAACATCGCTGTATAACTGCATACCACATATAGTGAAGTAGAGGCAAACACTGGGCTTTAAGCCTCTGCCATTTACTAGTCAATGAGGATTCCTGTCTGTGGGATCTCTGAGTCCCCATTTTCTCAGCTGAACCTTTACACTGCAAAGTTTTTGTAACTATGAAGTGGTATAACATACATGAAAACTCTTCACAAATTATTAAGAAATTCACTTTAAGTTATCAAGAGCTCTACAAATAGCATTTGTAGATGCTGTAACATTGCATAGCATTTGTAGTCCTGTAACATTATGATCATAATGAGGGCTATGAATCAAAGAAAAGGCTAAATTGCATTCCATATGTTTTATTTTGTGATTATCAAAGTTTGTAATGACCTGCCCGTAGCCACAGTTACCCTCATTTACCCCAGGGGAAGATTTCCATCAAAAATATCTTAAGTTCTAGGGCACATGGGTGGCTCAGTCGGTTAAATGTTTGACTCTTGATTTCGGCTCAGGTCATGATCTCATGCACAGTGAGATGGGGCCCTGCAACGGGCTCTGCACTGACAATTTGGAGCCTGTTTGGGACTCTCTCTTCCCCCCCCCCATGCCCCTCCCCCACTCCCTCTCGCTCTCAAAATAAATAAATAAACTTTAAAATATATATATATATGTATCTTAAGTTCTGAAAAGATTCAGTTCTTGTTATCAAGAGAAGTTGAGTCATGGGAAACTCTTCAATCTCCAAAGATAATGTATCACCATAGAAATAAAGCATAACTGTGTTTAAAGTATTTCTAGGTTCTGAATTACATAAACAACCTTCCATTTCCTATTTAGTATCAGTTAGTAGATAGAAATAACTATAATGGCCAATGTTTACTGACCACTCACTATGTCCCTGGGCTATTCTGAACACTCTACAGGGACTGACTCATTTCATACCCACAATCTGAAGGCCCATCACTCACCAAAACTAAGACTCTCTTTCCTCGATGTCTGCAGGAGCCCTGGCATCTCCTCTTTCATCAGCTTCCAAAACCTCAAACCATTCTGACTGACTCTACACCTAACTTTGTGTTACAGAAGAGAAAACAATCTGACTTTTGACCATTTTGAGGCCATGGATAACCCCGAAATTTCTTCCTCTTCCTTTAGAAACAAAGCAATGGACTCCAAAGTTGCTACCAAAGGCACTGGGAGATGCAGACACTGACAGAGCCTGCCTAAAGAGCACCAGCTCGCCTCTAACCAGCACAACCGCATCTTCCTTTATGTTTCAGACTAAGTGCCCCTTCTGTAGCTCCCACCTGTTCCCCCACAGGGCCATCAGGAACCAAATGCACTGGCTGTTCATTCTCCAAGTTCCGAGTACTTGGGTCTGCTCCCTTCCTCATCAACAGGCGGACTGCATCCAACTGTGTCACCCGATACTGAAGGCTGGCAGCAACATGGAGGGCAGTGTTTCCATTGTAAGCCTAAAGACAAAGAGATAAAATGACACCTATCAGAAAGGGAGGTTTTCATGAAAGCCGCTCAACAGCCTGAAGAAGATGCAAAGGTCATTCCATGTCTAGTGCAGTTACTGAGGCTTTCTAGAAGTACCTTCGCATTCACAAAAGACAGGCAACTGGGCAGCTCCAGAAAAAGGCGAATGAGTTCCAAGTTTGCTTCTTCAGCTGCCAAATGCAAGGCTGTGCGACCACTTTTACGATCCTTAACAAAGACAAGAGGGGAAAGAAAATTAACATCCAGACACCGCTTTTAGATATGCTTTTCACTCAGGCTCACAAATGTCTGACTCACCCTTAGTGATTCACTGTGAATGCTGTCTTCTCCGCAAAGCCTTCCTTCATCCCAGACTAAATGAAATCTTATTCCTCCTAAATTCCCCCATCAATTTGCCTATATGCCCTGATCACAGTCTGCTCTTACATTCATGGTGGCCATAAAATATAGAAACACAGATGACACTATTTTACCATGTGCTGTAATACAATACAATAAAATATTTACTATGTATTCCCTTGTGTTTCCAGATTTGGTGGCCACCCTGTGTAGACTTATTAGCTGCAGTTCTCACCTCTTCCACTTCCCAAGGTATTAAGTATTTTTCCCCCAGAGCTCCCAACTCAGTGCCTTGTACATAGGAGATACTCAGCAAATACGCCTCAAATTTAAAGAGAATAAAATATTTTCCAGTTTAAAAAACAGAAGATTAAGTCCAGGTCCTACAACAATAAAGCAACCCTTACAAAAGCGCATCACCCTTATTATTAGTATATGAAAATGGAAGCCAAAATGACAATACCAGTTTCAAGCATTTTCTTTTCCTTTTAAACAAAGACTAATTTATTTCACAGCTCAGTGATCTTTTGAATGATAATCTACAGATTAAAAGCAAATCGAAAAAGCTGATGATTTTAAAATCTAAGCTTCTTAACTATCCATATGCATTGCTATTCACCCCATTAATTGAAAAACGGGAAAAGGTTTTAATTTATACTTCAGAAATAAGGTCTTTTGCTCTAACCACTTTTCTTCCCAATTCCATCTCCAAACTCTAATGAGATTTACCTTTGCTTCCACTGCTGCTCCCATTTGAATCAGACATTTAATGGTGTCAACCAGACTCTTATTCTTCAGCAAAAGCTCCTGAACTTCAGGTGAATGGGGCTGTTGATTTCTCTGCAGTTCATGCACCACCGCATTGTGGGCCATGACCGCACAGTGTAAAGGAGTCAGGCCTAAAAAGTATAATAAAGCAGTGGTCAAGCATCCATCAAGTATTTCAGTTCTTCTACAATTACAGACCTGGACAATTACAGTTAGGACAGCCTCCAACATGAGCTAGAACTAGGCTCCCCAAGAACTAGTAAGGCAATCTGAAGATTCCCTCCACCGGGTCTTGGTGCTAATTTTATCTATAGACTATTTTAGCTTTAATCACCTCCCTTCCTTCTTGGAATAAAACTTAATACCCCTGGAACTGGCGAGTTCCACTCTCTACATGGCTTTTCATCCAATAACATTTCTGTCGCTTACCATCATAGTTAGTTGCCTCAAGATCCAAAAACTGATTGCTCTTCACTGCTCCCTTCTGAATTGCCTGCCAAATTTAAAGACAGACACATGTGAGCAAAAGACAAGTTACACAAATACTTATCCTATTAGTAACCCCAAGGAATGAGTAGGTCAACTAAAAATATACATTCTCGCAACAGGCAACCTACATCTGACTTCTACTATCCAAGCCCTACCTCTGTGGCCCTGTGATAGCAGAAGCAGCGTCCTACCTGAAGCACCTGAGAGTGACCTTTCTCAGCACAGACATGCAGAGGGGTTCTTCCCCAGCAGTCGGTTGTGTTCACCTGGGCCCCAAGGTTCACCAGATCCTGCACAATGAGATGCTGATTGGCAGCCACTGCCACCTGAAAGGCGCTCTGTGAACATTCAGAGGGAAAAAAGATCTTTTGAAAATACATAACACTGTCCTGACAAGGAATACGAACATAAACTAAGACTGAGGGGAAAACCCCACATAGAGAAAATAAATCTTATTAAGAAGCAATAAAATACTGTAACACAAGGAAACTAGAATAAGCTTAGGGCGTGCCTTTATTACACCCAGTTAATCTTTGGTCAAATAACTACAAAGTTAACGTTAATAACTTGAAGGTTGACGGTGGCAGAGTCAACATCTCAAAGTTAATATTAACTGAACTCTCTTGGTCTGCAGCTCTAAAATGATGGACACATAAATATGAGACTGGCTATTATTCTCTTCACCGTGACCACATCTCTGCCATCTCACTCTGTCAAGATCCTCACCTGTCCATTGTGCTCTTTAATATCCAACATATGAAGCGCATTCATCTTTCTTGCGAGGACATAGGAAAGTGCCCTTCTCCCTTGGGCGACGGCAATATGGAGGAACCTGGGAAACATGAGAGGAAAAGAGAATTACTTCTGACTTCACTAAGTTCATTCTTAAAAAAATAAAATAAAAATAAAAATTCCTCTTTAGTCCCCTTCTTGACATGTTGGTGCACTCAAATGACACACTGTAGAGCATAATTTGTCTTTTCTGCTAGGTTGATAATACATCTGAGGTGCAAAAGGATGTGTTAAGCTACCAGAAATAGTTAGAATGCCAAGCACCATGCTGATCACTTTAAATCGATTATCTTTAATATTCCTACAAACCCTATGAGGGAGGTCTTTTCATTTTACATGTCAAGACTCAGGCACAGAGAGGTTAAATAAATTGCCCACGGCCACAAAGATGTCATGACAGATTACGATTCATTCTACAAGTCAACTCACAATTGATCATGAGCAACTAATCATGACCTGTTTTTGCTCCATAGACACAATCTATCCTGGGCTTTCAAAACTTATTATTCAAAGAAGACACATAAACAAGTAATCTATTCAGCCAGAAAGTAAAAGAAAGGAAAACGCTTAAAATATTAGCTGTCACTGAACAGCAATTTCTACCTACTCTAGTCATCCCAATTAGCCACTTACTAGGGTCTGGCTTGGTGTGCCCTAGAGAAATTCTGTGCCCACTACTTCTAACAAGTATGGTTTACCAAATTAGGAACATGAGAGAAAAGGATACTCACGTGTCACCATCTGCATCCTTTGAAAGAAACTGATCTTGAGAGATATTTGCCAATTTGCTTTCTTCCTGTTCTACTTGCCACTGGAAAAATGACTTCCCTAACTGTGTGGTGTTCATTGGATTTCCGATGATGTTTGGGAATGGCAGTGAAGTGCCTAAAGGGGTAGAGCCTGCGTCATGCCCCATCATGGCCTCACAGGCGCCATGTGGCATCATGTTGAAGTTCTGCAGGTGTGAGTCATTCTGTTGCTGAACACTGGGGGAATTCTGAATGGGAACAGCAATATTCTCAGATTCCTGACTACTCAGAAGGGATGCAAAACTTTGATCTGGGCAGAACTGTGGTTCTTGACCATCAAAGAGGTTTGGTTCATAATTGGGGGACTGGGACGTTCTGGAATAAGGACTGTATTCCAGAGTTGGGTTGTGGGTGTAATGCTGTGGCTGCAAGTTCTGGCTCTGTGGAGAATACTGGTACAGGGACGTCTGATCCACCATGTGTGGGGAGCTGCTGACTTGGAATGGTTGGTGTTTCTGAGGTGGCGAGAAGACCTGCCCTCTGTGGAAGTCCTGACACTGTTCTTGGGGAGAGCCCTGAGGGACCACCACAGGGCTCATCCAACTAACTTGGACAGTATTCAGGGAAACCGGGCTGCATTCATTCTTAATGTTGATTATGTTCTGAAGCAGATCAGCACTGCTGTCCTGTTTGGATTCACTGTGATGAGCATCTTCCATGCTCTCTGCGGGTGTTGGTGTTTGAGGTGGTGTCTGGAAAAGAAGAAAAAGTTAAGTTGCAGACTCTCTTTCAAAATTATGCCAGGAAAAATTTTCAAAGGGTATTCAGAGGAAAATAGTGAGATATTTACCAAAAACTGGGTATGTAATAAAGCTGGCCTTTTGCAAACTGGTCCATCAGACAATGAATCAGGTCCTTTCCTTTTTCCACTATATGATACTGTGTTCTTCAATTCTATACCCAAGAAAGGAATATGGAATCTGTGATCACTTTATTTTCTACATTTTACCCATAATCACACTACATTATTTTACTCTAAAGCCCCCATATTACGAATAGAAGGAACTCTTACCTGTGAATTGCTCTCTGTTCACACTTTGGGTCTATAAAGAAAAAGAATTTCTAATTTACTGCATATCAAATGGTTTCCTGCTTAATAGACATCAATAAGCAGACTTTACCACTCTTTACAGCTCACCATAAATCTGACAGTTATCCTAGCAATATTTATTTTCTATCTTAATTTTCTTTCCCCATTTTCCCTTTCACCTTAGTTCAACTGAGGTCAAGACAAAATTAATAAGCCCATTAGAGTTTTCCCCTTCTAGTCAAACTTTTCCATTTCAGTTGATTCTTTGCCCCCAAGTTGCCTTCATTTATTCATTCATTAAATTTCTCTTGTGTGCCCAGTACCGGCCTAAGTGACAGGAATACAGCAGACAGAGACCAATGCACCCTCTATCCTATGACTCTGGTGTGGTATACAAAAGAGCTACTGGACCCAGGTCAGAAGAGAATAATAACTACCCTGACAGAATAACCTCCCTGCCTCAACCCAAAACAAAAAAGAGGTACCACCTTAAAATCATCCACAGCTTGGCCAGAAGCCTTCTGTTTATGACTTCGGATATGCAACAGGAGTTCCTTCACTGAGTTCTTCACACGAACACCTTGAAAGGGTCCTCTCTGCTGCCTTCCAACCCCCATATGGGGCTCAACTGTTCAAAAGAAAACAAAACGTATGCCAATTAAATCTGTTTACAGACACAAATCTTGACAATCTCAAAAGCATAGCCGTCTAATGTATGAAGTCCCCAACAATCAAATTGCAAAGCCTCTCCAACTCACTCTGGTCAATGGCCTTGCATGTCAGTCCCCAGCCCTACCTAAGCGTTCTTCATTTCCTAATACCTTTATCCCCCAGGCACCCTACGAAAATAAAGCTCAAAGAACTGTAGTTTCAGGGGCCCCTGGAGCCAACAGATAAACCCAAATTAAGCTTCTTCGTCTTTCAGCCCCATCCACCCAAGAGACACAATCACAGATTTTGCCACCCTCTCATAAATCTGTAATTATTCTTAACTTTTGAAAAACCGTGGGGGAGCAAGGAATAAATGATGGATTTTCAGCTTTTTCAAAACAAAGGCTTTATATCCACACATAAATTTAAAAAGTCTAATAATTCCACTCACCTAAGAAAGCACAAAACAAACTTCCTCCAAAGATCTCAATGTGCCAAGGTCTAACAATTAACAATGTCTCAGAGTGGGGATGGGCCAAATGGGTAAGGGGCATTAAGGAATCTACTCCTAAAATCACTGTTGCACTATATGCTAACTAATTTGGATGTAAATTTAAAAACATAAAATTTAAAAAATAAACATAAAAAAATAAAAAAACCAATGTCTTAGATTTGTTTCTTAGGCTTTCCATATTTAAATTTTAAGATATACTTTAAAATGTAGTCTATGAGTACAGCATTCCACTTCTGACCACTACTATGTCATAATCTCTTGGGATGAGTTGAACACAAAGAAAACATGGAAGAAGTCAGGAAATGAATAATTGAGCCACTCAGTTGAGTAGGAAACAGTTAGAAGATGGGACAAGAAACCATGCCTAATTTGAATAGACATAGACATATCAAAAACCCACTCAATGGTAGGGCAAATTAAAGAATGAGTGGATTTTATGTTTAAGTTTAGGAAAACCTTGTCAGGATCTAACAGCATTTCTCTGGAATGACAGTAGTTAATAATTCAACGTCACAGGGAGAAAAATTCAGTTTCAGAAATCCCCTATGTCTATGTGGTAAACCAAGGAACGAACAAAACAGTTTCAGAGAAATGAAGGCCAAATGTGAGAGAAAAGGCTTGAATACACGCACACGCGCGCGCACACACACACACACACACACACACTCTTTGCATCTGATAAAACATACATATATTTAAAATACGGAGAGCACCTTATGAAATCAAGTGGCTTAAATTACTTTTTAAGTGAAAATGAAAACTCACTTTTTATAATAAAAGACAACCAAAACAGAAGTGGCTAGCAGTAGGGAACACACCTGAACAAGAATGTTCTTTAAAATCATGCTGATTAGACTTTATAACACTTGAGATTATCTAGACTTTCTTTAGTCTGCCCACAGTGCCATCCTGTTTCCCCCCAAGTTATGCAACTGGGCTCTTTAAGAAAAGAAACTAACCAATTCACAGCAGAAGAAAACATTATCCCCATGCCGGCTAGGTTTAGCTTAACCATTCTAAAGCACACAGAAAAACAAGACCGCAGAAATTCAGGGTAGACTTCCGAAACTCGAAAACATCACACACTAAAGTCATAATGTGAGCTGGTTTTTAGTCCAGTTTCACCTCACATCTTGTTAATATCAGTTTCCTTTCTTAAATATAAAATCCTTTTTACTTAAAATTTCCACAAATACTTAGGAAAAAATAAGTCGACCATAAACACAGCACTCAAACAAACCTCATTGGGAACCCCAAGTTACCCCAAGTTATACCTACATCAGATCCAAAAACTCGCCACCAGTATGTGAATTTACAGTTTAGTAAAGCTTGAAGAAGGAGAAGGAGAAAAGAAAAAAGAAGAGTGAGACAAAATCTAAAGTGATTCATCACCACCCTCAGAAGTCAGAGCTCTGCTCTCAGAGGCGCTGTGAGCTACCAGGCCAGCGGGATGTGGCTCCCGGATTTTACCGACGGTCAAAGGGCATCCAGTTCTACCAACTGCCCTGGCACAGAGCAAGTCTTCCAGTAATCTCCTAACATATGATGACAGTGTGGTTATATACTGCCGCTAAGGGAGGCGCAGAGGCCACCTAACTCCCGGTCCAGGTACTTCGCACCTCGGCAGTTCGGACCCTCCCCTCCCAGCGTGTGGGCCGCCCGGAGACCGGGGTGCTGGGGGCGCTGAGGCCGCGCCCGCCGGGGCGGGTAGGTACCTTGCAGCCGCTCGGCGCGCGCGCCACCTCTCGGCCGGGACTCCACGGCCCCGCAGGAGGACACGGACGAGGCGGAGGAGAAGTCGGAGGAGTCCGAGCCGGGCGAGCCGGGCGCGGAGGGCCCCGACGACGAGCAGATGGCGTCGCAGGCGCCCGGGGCCGCGGCCGGGGACGATGCGCCGTAGAAGTAGGCCAGGTTCAGCGGGCTGGTCATGAGGCCACCGTCGCCGGCCGCGTCCAGCAACCCCTCTCCGCCGCGGCTGTCGTCCAGCAGCTTGTCCACGATCATGCTCCCGGGCTGGGCGCTCGGGGACCCCAGACTCCTGCGCCACCCGCTCGCTGCGCACGACTGCCTCCCGGCTGTGGCTCTGATGGGCTCGGGGACCTGCCGGCAGGGGGATGGCGCGGGCACGGGCGCGGCCCGGGACTGCCCGGTATTTAACCGGCCTCCAGGAGCTGGAGGGGGAGGATCACAGCCTCGCCTGCCTCCCCCGAGCCGGGCCGGGCCATTGGCGGCGTCGGGGCCGCCTCCCAGCCCCTCCTCCGGATGCGCCCCGTTTCCAGTAAAATGTACAGGATGAAGCAATGTGCCCTCCGCCCTCGCCCCGCCCGCCCGGCTCCGCCTCGACTGACCGGCTGTTTTCTCCCCCTTCACCTGGAAACCCCGAGCGAGAGCGGTCTCCCACCTCCCGCCTCCCGGACCGGGACCCCGGCCCCAGCCGCCGGCCGAGAGAAGCCGGGCCGGGCCGGGCGCCGGGGAAGAAGGCGCGCGGCGTGGGGGCCCTGGGCCTGCAGAGGGAGCGGTGGAGGCGGGAAGGCAGCGGCGGGAACAGGTCGGCCCGGTTCCCGGGGAGGAGGAAATCCTGGAAGCTGCACGTTCCGCACTCCTCCGCCCGCCCTGGCGCGGCGAGCTTCCCGCCAGCTCCATTTAAGGCGTCTCTGGAAGATTCCTAAAGGCCTGGCTCCTCCAGTGCCTCAGAGCAGCTTTGGTCCTCGGAACTTAACGTTTGCCAGTGTTTACCTTTGGCACCCACTGAGATAGATGTTGAAGCCATTTTTCTGTCCTCAAATTATAATCTGGACTACTACATTTTTTTTTTTTTTTTGGCACAGCCCAGTAATAAAAAACAGTGCCTTATACCCCTGTCTGGTTCAGAACTTCGCAAAATGACGAATGTACATACATGTATATGTTTGTATTCATGTATATATAATTTTTTTCTTTCTGCATAATTTTACATTTTATCTGATAAACAGGAATTTTGCTGTTTCTTAGCTTAAGTACTATTTATTTATTTTTAGTGTTCATTTATTTTTGAGAGAGAGAGACAGACAGGCTTGGGGGGGCGGGGGGAGGAGGGCAGAGTGGAGAGCTAGGGAGACACAGAATCCGAAGCAGGCTCCAGGCTCTGAGCTGTCAGCATAGAGCCCGTTGCGGGCCTCGAACGTGATCACAGAGTGCGAGATCATGACCCCAGCCAAAGTCGGACACTTAACTGACTGAGCCACCCAGGCGCCTTAAGTACTTTAAAAAAAAAAAAAAAATGGATTTACACAATTTTTATTGAAGTCCTAGGAGTTTGCAGGAAAAAAAAAGATGAATGATTATGTACCTTCTTTCAAGTACATTGTAATCTTGTAGAAATGATAAGGTAGGCACACACGTGCTATATTAAAAGAAACCAATTATGATTAAACATCATGATGGATACAAAGTTCAATGAGTGTCCTAAAAAGAAAGACAAAACATGGTGGAGAAAAAAAGGTCATGAGGAAAATCTTTGCAAAGGAGAGGGCATTTGAGACAGGCCCTGAAGGATGGGTGGGATTTCAACCAAAATGATTTATAGGAAGATGGAACAGCATGACCAAAAAAAAATGAGGAAGAGTCAGATAAAAGCCTACAGTCCCTTTTTAAGGTAGTCAAAGCAAAGGTGATAATATAAATGTAACAGGTAACTTGGTGCCTTTGGGTGGAGCACCTCCAGTGGCCGGCTGAGACGCTGAGTCTTTAATAAACACTGAGTGAACATGGAAGAATCTGGGCAGGCAAAATTAACCTAGAAGCAGCCTAGAAGCGGTAAGACTGAGGGGTCCAGAGGCCCTTAGGAACTACTGCATTCAGGACTGAACTGAGCTGACCCTGGTTCAGAGGCAATGAGGAAGAGGAAAGTAAATGGAAAGAAAGGGTTGGGCAGCACTGTTCAGACAGAATGCACAGGTCCGGACCAGCTAGATATGGGCAGCAGTGAAGGGGTCCCCAGTCACAATGTGGTTTGGGGCCAGATGACCAGGTGAACAGGGATGCCAGCTTCAGATCACAAGCAAATCAGCAGAAGCAAAGTTAGAGTTCCAGGAGGGAAGAGGGATGCAATGAGCTTGAATTGTTACTCAGTATTAATAGGTGTTAGAAGACCCTGATGGGAGTTTCAAAGTAAATAGTCAACTTGTTTCTCACAAGTGTATTGTCCCCAAAACTTGCTGCCTTTCCCTTCTCCCAGTCTTTGGTTTTGGTAACTTCTAAAAAAAAAAATAAAAAATAAAAAGGAAACAATTCTTTTGTATCTGCAGGGAATAAAAGACTCCAGTAAATGCAGTCCTCCAGAAACCAAAATCACTTAAAGGATGCTCCAAATAAGATGTTAGGCTTTCTCAATAAAATCTATTTGGATTTTTCTTTCACCCTACTAACATATTTTATGTATAATAAAGGCCTTAAATGTCCATTCAAACAAATTCATGCACAATTTTTTTTTTTTTTTTTACAAAACTAATTCTCCCCTAAAATTATTTCTGGTTTCACTTGGTATATAAAAATCTAAGCTCAAAATCATAGCCTCTGGAGAACTCATAAATAAATATGATCAGTGAAAGACTAATGTTTCAGAATAAACAAAGTTTTCTATAAAATGTCAAAGCAAGCATACTGTCTGAGAAGACCACAAGCCCCAGTGCCCAATGCCCTCCCACACAGAGTCAAGAATGGTAGTTTGTTAATGTTACTACAAAAAGAAAATTTGAATATACTTTGCTTCATTTACATGTTGAAATATAAACTCAATATGGTCTATCAATTTGGTTGAATGATATGACACTACCATTGTTCTAACCAAATGTGATAGAACGTTAACACTCTGAGAGAGAGCTACCATGTTATGAGGACTCTCTGGAAAAGTCCACTGAGGCCAACAGCCAGCACCAACTGGCCAGCTATATGAGGGAGCCTCCACAACATATCAGGCCTTCAGATGACTGCACTGACCAACATCTTGACTGTGGTCTTAGGAGCAGCCCTAAACTAGAACTCCCCCAAAGGCACTCTCAGATTCCTGACCACAGAAACTATATTCAAAAAATGAAGCCTTGAGAATTTGCCCAAGGTCACACTGCTCATCATTGGTGAAGAGATTAAAATCTTCATCTGTTTGACTCTAGACCCTGATCTCCCACTCTCTCTCTCTGCCCCTCCCCCACTCTCTCTCTCTCAAAAATAAACATTAAAAAAATAAATAACAATAATGAAAATTTTTTTAAAAAATAAAATAAAAAGGGATATCACAAGACACATTTCCTCAAGGTTCAGATACTCTAACATCTAAAGTTACAAAAAAAAAAAAAAAAAAGATGAAAATGACAGAGAGACCCCCTGACTTATGGAAAGAGAAATCTCTAAAGCAACTGGAAGAAACTATAAATAAGAAATAAAAATATGGGGGACCTGGATGGTTCAGTCAGTTAAGCATCCAACTTTGGCTCAGGTCATGATCTCACGATTCATGAGTTTAGGGTCTGAGCTGACAGCTCAGAGCCTGGAGCCTGCTTCAGATTCTGGGTGTTCCTCTCTCTGCCCCTCCCCAGCTTGCTCTCTCTCTCTCTCTCTCTTTCAAAAATAAATAATAAAACATTTTTTTAAAATGATTAAAAGAAATAAAAATATGATGTTTTCCTTGGCTTTATAAATGTTAACTATTCACCTTATTGTATCTTATACGATAGAACATTTCTTAATAGTATTATGGTGCCGGTTAAGTTGTAACACCATATTGAGGTCAATCATTCAAAGTTTTAAAAAAGGTATTCAATTTTTAATGTAGATGTAATGAACTTGTCAAATGCCAAAAATCATTTGGTGCAACTTTTCAAACTGGAGATGAAAAAGTCAGTGAAGTATCTTAGTACAATAATTTATACTGCCTTCGCTGAAGAAGTGAACATCATAGGTGAGAAATTAATAAAGCCTGGGAGAATTTGTTTTGCTAAATGTCTTCTAGATGAAAAAACAGCAAAAGAAACCATGGCCCTGTACTTCCCAGTGATATAGCAACTCATCAAATGAAGATTCAGCTGCAAACATGAAAGCTGATCTTGCCTGCAATACTGCATTTTTGCCTTAGCAATGGATAGATCTATGGACTGTCTGGACTTGCTATTTTGGTTGCATTCATCAGGTATTAGCACTGGCTAATCACCAAAGATCTTTTATAGGAATGCTTGAAAATAAGCATAAGAGGGGCTGAAACATTCAAAGTGTACAATAATCTTTTTGAATCACATCATTTATCCTGGAACAATTGTATTGACATTCGCACTGATGGTACAAAAGCAGTTGTGGGTAAACTGCTGATGCCTTACAACAAATCAAGACAGTAGCAACAGAATGAAATAGTGGTCATTGTATTCATCACCACCACCCACTCGCAGATTAAAAAAAAAAAATTTTCACTTAAGAAAATCCTAGATGAAACAGCAACAATTAATAATTTTATTAAATACTGACCCTTGAAATATACATAGTTTTAATATTCTATAATGATTGTCTGGAAAAGCACTTGGCCCATTCGACTGAATGAATTGAACAATGATACATTGGCGTTTGTTCCACTTCAATCCCATTTGAGTTGTGAGTTCAACTATTCACTGTTTTTATTGGAGCAATAATTTTACTTGACTGACAAACTGTGGTTATTCTGACTTGGATATTTGTCAGATTTTTTTTTTTTTTTTTTTTTAATGAAGTAACGCTGTCATGTCCAGGAGCGTGCTTAAGATTCTCTCTCTCCCTTTGCCTCTCTCTCCCACTCAGGCTCGGTCTCTCTCTCTCTCTCAAAAAATAAATAAATAAAATGTAACTACTTAAAAATGTGCCATTAAATTACATATTTATTAAGTAATAGGTGGTTGGCTATTACAAGGGACACATGTCCTGGGAGCTTATGTAGAGGAGACAGACTCATAAATGGGTAATTTATGGAAATTCTGATGGAAGTCTGTGTGGGGACACAGAAAAGG